GAGGCGGAAGGATCGCCGGAGCCCAGCAGGTCGAGGCTGCGGTGACCAGGAGTGGCCACTGCACTCCCAGTCTGGGTGACAGAGTGAGACTCCAACTCAAAAAAAAAAAAAAAAAAAGAGAAATTTTTAAAAAACCACACACAGCCAAACCAGTACCTTTCCAGACACGCTATGTGTCACTCTGAGCCACTGATAAGCCAATCAGCGCTAAGGCGCTCACACCAGGCCAGGTGCTGTGACTCACATCTGTAATTCTAACAGTTTGGAAGGCCAACACAGGAAGATCACTTGAGCCTAGGAGTTCAAGACCAGCCTGGGCAACATAGCTAGTCTGTCTCTTTATTTTTAAATAAATAAAAAGAACCTGACTATTCTAATGCTGACAATGAGAGCTGCAATTAGTTCTTAGAGAGTCAACACAACCTCACCTCAGTGCCCTGGAGCTTTTACCCAAACTCTCTCTCATGCTGTGGGTTCAAGCCCTTCTAGAAGGAGGATTAACGGCTCTTTCCTGCCGTAAGACTAGTTTGTGGAGAACACTCTCTGGTGTACAAGTCCAGTCGAAGACAGGGCAGTGACCCTCTACCCCACAAGGCTAGCTCGTCTGTTGAACCTGCTTCCTGAGTGCAATCAGGCACATGGAAGGCCCAGGCTGCTGATCTGCCTGAACTCTCAGGCAAAACTGATATTCTACTACTTTAACCCCAGCATAAATTTCTCATGAGGGGAAGAGCATGAACTTTGGAGACAAACAGTTGTGAGTTCAAATCCCAGTTCTGCCATTTTCAGTATGATCTTGGAATAGTACTCAGTTTCTTTGATCTCAATTTCCTCATTTATGAACTGGGAATAAAACCATTCTTCACAGAGTTGTGAGGACAGAAGGAAATAAATTATGTAAAGTACCTGGCCTGGGCCTGGCACACAGTAGGTGCTCAATACCCGTTAGTTTCTTTCCTCTTCTGCCCTAGAAGAAATGACAGGGAAACTTACTAAGTGAGACTTGCCCAAATCAAATTTATTACTTGAAGCACAGGACAGAGGACTAGACAAGCGACCTTCAAGGCCTCTTTGCACCCCCAAGTCCATGGTTCTGCCTATATTTCCTAGCAAGAACCTCCAGTGTCTGCGGTCCCTCCAGCCCCTTCTTTCAGTCTTTGTTTCCCGACATCACTCTCCAGAGTAGAGAGACACACTCACTTCAGAATGGAGGGGAAATAGCAAGAAGAGCCCTGAGCCCTGGCAGAAGGGGGAGGGAGACGGCCTGCAGGTCCGCAGCATGCGCCCCACAGGCTGCCCAACCATGCAGCTGTTCAGCTGGGAGCAGCCTGGAGCAGGATGAGGGGGGAGGCACTGGCACAGACCAAGGGGCGCAAATGCAGGGCTCTTCCCAGGACACAGCTCGCCTCTCCTCAGTCCTCTTCTGCTTCTGCACATCCTGCCACCAAGGACCACTCAACATTCCTCTCCCCAACACCAAGGCAGCCACGCCTTCACATGGCTGTTCCCTCTGCCTCTTCTTTCTCTTTTTAGGCCCTGTCTGGGTGTTACATCCTTCTAAGGCCACAGGCTGAATGAGCTGGGATTTGCTCTGGGAAGCCCTAATACTTCTCACTAAGATCTAGACCAGAGCTTATGACATGTATCCTAGTGGTGGACATTTTTGTCTTCTCCATAACAATAGAAGCCTTTCAAGGGCAGAGCCTTTGTCCCACAGTCACTGTACCGCATCACTCGGCAGCAGAGGCCGTGGCACACAGGAGGCACAGGTTAGCGTTTCCATACATAATGGAAGGTGAGCGGTTGAAGAGTAACATTAACAGGCGGAAGTGAAGGAAAGCTTTTTGTTTTGTTTTGTTTAAACCAAGGTTGTTCTATTCCTGCTCATGGAAAAGCTCCTCCTTGGGAACCCCATTCTTTGAAGAATACCTCAGGTCTCCTCAAAGATTCCCCATGGCACCCTCAACCAGCAGCTCCCAGACCCAGTCATATGTCAGAATCACTTTGGACAATTCAGCCACATATTACTGGGATCCAGACCTGGAGACTGATTCTGTAGATCTGGGACAGAACCCTGCACAGCACAGAGGATCTGATGATTAGCGAGGCTGGGGTGAGGGGGAGGCAGAGTCTAGCAATCACAGCTGCCTCTCCCACCAAGAATTACCTCCTCACATGCCATCAGAAAATGAACTAAGCACATCATGTCCACTTTCCTACTTAAAACCTTGCATGGATTCCTCACTGCCTACAGGCTAAAGCTCAAATCTCTTGGTGTGGTTTTCAAGAAACCTGCTAGGTCCCCTCCAGCCTGATCTCTCACCACTCTCCAGATGATCTGCACAATGCAGATGTGTTTGTAGAGTCCCTTCCTCTGTTTATCCCTTTCTCCCACCTTGTTCTCTGGAGAACTACTCAGCTTCAAAGACTCTGCAACCCTGAGGCCACTCTCTGATCATCCTCCTCTATGTGACCCTGTCTTCAACAATCTTAGCACCAAGCATCTAGAATATCCGCAGCTACCGCTAGAGCTAGGCATGCAGTACCTGCTGGACCCTAACATTAATCCCGTAAGCCTGGATTCCCTGTCACTGTATGCATGGCTGAGGTGAGTGGATTACCTGAGCCCGTGGGTTCGAGACCCGCCTGGGCAGCGAGACCTCATCTCTACAATAAATCAAAAATATCAGCCGAGCGTGGTAGCACATGCCTGTAATTCTGGCAACTTGGAAGGCTGAGGCAGAAGGATCACCGGAGCCCAACAGGTCGAGGCTGCAGGGGCCGGGAGTGGCCACTGCACTCCAGTCTGGGCGACAGAGTGAGACTCCAACTCAAAACAAACAAACAAACAAAAAAAAAAACAAACCAAGAGGGCAAAACACCTATCTCCTAGCATCACTGCAATTACTAATATACCTATTCTCTAGACTATGAACTCCTTGTAGACAGGGACCATGTATGATTCACTTCTGCACTCACAGTTGGCCCAAGGCCTGGCACAGATCAGGGGTCAGTTGAATGTTTGCAGAACAAATGCCAGGCAAGAGGAAGACTGGGCATCAATGTGGGCAATGGCTGGTCTAAATGAATGAATGTCAGTATCATTTCCTCCCACTGGTAACAGAAGTGATGCAGGCTAGGCAGGCACCAAGGACCAAGTTCCCTAAGGATAGGGACTAGCTCATCCATCTGTGTAGCCCACATGAAGGTCCTGGCACAGAGGTCGCTTTGATGCTTGCTGAGTGAATTAAGCATCATGAGATGGTTTATTAGACATACTGACTGATCATCTGCTCCAATTCCTTGAGGAAGCAGTGGGAGAATTGGGTCTCAAGAGTCTCTTTAAACCAGACTGGGCAAAGGCCCAGGGGATGCTGTAGAGAGATCAAGGTGGAGGAGAACAAGCAGGGGGAAGGGCAGGATGGTCGCACCTCCCCCAACCGCTGGTGTACACTCTAGCCAGTCTCCTGGGGGCTCAGCGAGTGCACACCTGGATTGCAAACCGCTCAGCCCAAGGGAGAACAAAAGCATTAGCAGAACTAGCAGGTGAGGAACACTCAGGCTTTGGAGGGCCACCTGACATAGCTTCTGCCCCCTCCAATGCCTATTCTCCTGTCATGTACTAGGTGCTGCACGGGTTGCTTCTCTCATGAAGCTGATGAGGCTCAGAGAGGGGAAGAAACATGCCCAGTCACAAAACTAGAAGGAGGCTGAGCTGGGAGTTCAACCCAAGTCTCTGAACATTATTCCCCATTGCTCCCTTCAACTGCTTAAGCTGTTTTGTTTTGTCTTTTACTAACAAGGCAGTAACTAACTGTTAGTCTTCTTGTGAAGTAAATGAGCATTTGGTTTCTTAGGGAACAGATCGATGTGGCTGAGTGGCCAGAAACAATTGACTTTGGGGAGCCCAATGAAGCTCGAGGTTCTGCATTTAACTATAATAAGTGAGGGGCCTGGAGAGAGCCAGAGGGGTGGAAGGAGCACATGCTATCCAAGGGCTCAAATGCTACCCAGAAACATTTCCTGATATTGTGGAAATGTGGGCCCAGCACCATCAGACCTTTAGAGTTTTAAGAGGTACAGATCCAGACTTGTGGGAGATCTTGATTTTTAAAACACTGGCTCAAATTAAAACAAAAACAATAAGCCTGTAGCCTGGAAGGGGACTTACTATCGCTTTTGGGTTCGGTTCGGCAGACAACACTGAGTCTCACCTTCCTTACCCACTCTGTATACAGAGGACAGGGTCAGGAGTGGCAGTGGGAGCCTGAAGTCCTCACCAAAGACACGCCTGCGGGCGGAGCCACGATGGTCCCCTACCCTTGCCCCAGGTACTCTGCATCAGGGCATCGAAGCCAGCTTCTGCCGTCCAGACCCCAATCCCAGCTAACAGTAGGGCAACCACAACAGAATTTGTCAGTTTGTTTCACCTCTTTGTGGCTGCAGTTAAAAAACTAAAAGTACTATTTAAAAAATTCCCCGAAGTACAAGAGTATCTCCTTTCTTCCTTTGTTCCTTTCTTCCTTTCTTTTTTTTGCCTGACATCCATAGTGGAAGTCATCTGGGCAAATGTTTCGTTGCTCTGAGTTTCTGTTTCTTCATCTGAAAACAAGAGTATATTTATATCCTTCAGTTTGCTGATTAACATCTGTTACTCACCAGGCACAGGAGTACAATGGTGAGTGACATGGTTCCTGCACTCTTATAAAGTGTACACATAAAAACAGACAAATAATTTATATTTGTACTAAATGCTCAGGAGAAATACAGGGGAGGTGGGAAGATTAGAAGGTAGGTAAGGTGCCTGGCACAAACAAACGAATGAGTTGGCAGGTCAAGCAGTAAAGGAGATAAGAACATGGTAGGAACCTAGATGTCAGAGCTCTTGGCAAAACTGTGTCGTCCTCAATAAAAAAGGAATGGTTAAGCCACCATTCAAGCTTTCTGGTACCTGTGTGGCAGAGCCCCTACAGTACCACACAGTCTGTTGCATGGGAAGGAGGGGAGACACCAGCTCCCTGGCTCTCCCTTCTCCCACACTGCCCTTTTGGAGAACAGCACTCCCACAGGGGCCCGGACTAGGCTAGAGGGGAAAGCAGCCTCGGGGTTGGAAGCCAGACCCAGCAGGGGTGAGGTCCAACCTGGGGAGTCTACTCTGGAACTAGCTCAGCCCAGGGCGGGAGGTGGGGGAGGGAGTGAAGGTGGGGCTTCTCACACTCAGTAAGTGGTGACGTCTTCGTTAATTGAAAACCTTCTTATTGTGATCTGAGACACAAAGAGACCACCTCAAAACCGGGTGACGATAAGCCCAGGCTCTGGACTGATTCGTTGTCTCCCTCATTCACCTTGTTATTTCCGTTCTGTGTCAGCAAGGCCCTGAGCTAGGCCAGGAGGCTCAGAGGCAGACGACAGGGTCCGTGCCCCTGTGGAGCTCCCGGTCGGGGGCGGGGGGCAGACACATCGACAGAACGTCTGGTCACAGAACGGGGAGTGCGGCCAGAGGGAAGCACAGAGGGCCGTGGGCACGGAGGGGGAGCCTGACGCAACGGGGAGGTCAGGGAAGGCTTTCTGGGAACGGGACCCCAAACGGCATCCCCACTCACATGCACAATTCCAGAGATTCTACTAGAAGGCTGTCAAGAGCCATGCCTTCTGGCTGCACCAGCCTCCCAGAGTCCCCTGCTGCCCGATGCAGTGTCTGCAGAGCCAAACGCATCTTCCGCCACGCCTCATCCTCATCCGGCGCCGCATCCGACCCTCCAAGACTCCTGCAGGAGCCTGCCTTCCTGGGCAGGCTCGGCCAAAAGACCAACTCAAAACTCTTTTGTCAGAGCAAGCGTGGGGACAGCCGCCCAGCCCCGGGTGCCACCGCCCTCCCGGACCAGTGCGGCCCGTGCCGCCCGCCTCGCTCGCAGCGGGCACCGGCGGGGTA